AGGAAGGAAGGAAGGAAGGAAGGAAGGAAGGAAAAAAGGAAGGAAGGAAAGAAGGAAGGAAGGAAGATCAGGAAGGGAGAATGACCTTGATGATTTTCTGCAGGTTCCTCCAGGTCTCCTCCAGAGCTTCCATCGTGAACCAGGTGTAAGGGTTGGAGGCCACGCGGAAGCTCTTGATCTGGCGGTCCAGCTCGGCCAGCTGGTTGAAGTCGGCCTGGGCGGAGCTGAGCGAGGACCGGAAGGCGTCGTGAGCTTCTCGCAGCGCCTTGATCTCTTCCAGCGAGTTGCAGCGCACGGGGTCGGTCAGGTCCTCTTCCGCGTTCTCAAACCAGCTGTTGAAAGCTGAGGCTTTCTTGGCGAAGGTCAGGAAGAGGTCCTCCACCTAGAGGAGAGGACAACCCTCAACCATCTACCCAGAAGGGAGCAGCTAAGGATCGAGGGGGCCCCCCATGCTGGATTTGTAAGGAGGAAAACACTCCGGGGGTGTATAGAGATAAGATGGGGTGGCCTGTCCTTTTGAAGGTTTTCAAGAAGAGATTTGACTGGAATGTCAAACATTCCATCTTTTTTTCAAACAGTGGGTCATCTGGGTACAGATATCTTGTGCCGTAGTATTTATGCTTAATACAATTTCCTTACCGTAACAATAATTAGGTTACATTCTTATTTTAAACTACTATACATATCTTAGCGTTGTAACCATCCCCTTCCTAATTCCTTCCCCTCTATTTTTATATGTTCATATATGTTTTATATAATATATAATATATATATATATATATAAGCTGAGAAGTGATCCTAGGTTATCGAAAAGGCCGTGGTTTGGAACAAGCTCTCCTAGACCTCATTCCCCCGTTTGAATTTCTTAAGGGGGGCGATGCCCACCGATCAGGATGGGACACCTGGAGTGACCAGATCGAAATAGCATAAGAGAAACCACTAGCTGATTTTTTTTTTTTAAAAAAAATCTATCTATCTATCATCTATCTATCTATCTATCTATCTATCTATCATCTATCTATCTATCTATCTATCTATCTATCTATCTATCTATCTATCTATCTATCTATTTACAGTATCTCTACAGTATCTATCTATCTATCTATCTATCTATCTATCTATCTATCTATCTAT